AGAAGATAGACAGCTGGCATCACTACCTGCTTCACTTCTCCAGACTCTATCTGCTGCTGAATGTGTATCAGCATCACTTGCTTTAGACTGTACAAATTCATCTGGAGTAAGTCTTGCTCTCCACACTTTTATATGGTCATTAATGTTACATTATTTTGTTTCTAGGACATGCGGTGAAGAGAGAGAGCTTGAAAAGCCAGCAAAAGATTCTGCCTTTGAAAGCAAATGACATCACTGGAGTCTTTTTCTAAAATACAAAATAAAGGGGATTGTTAAGTTTTGCATTTCAAATCTATAGACTGCTGAAAGTTTAAAATAATTTTATAAGCATAGTATTTTAAAGTTAAATTTTGTGGAATAGAAGCCCCCTTTAATCTTGGTTTAAAAGTATTTAAACACTTCTGCCAATAGTTTTGTCCAGTATTAACAGGTAACACATTTCAAAAGATGAAAATTCCAGTTAGAAGACATATGCTTACATGTTACAGGACTTAGAGTTGTAGTATATTTTTACCTGACTACTGTATGTTTGTCTAGCTAATAGCAGGAAAAAGTGTAAATACTTTTAACTGCCCAGTTGCTTCACTTGTATAAAACCTACTCTCTTCCTATGATACTGACCTCTGTTTGTGCATAGTTTTTCAACTCTTGTTAGGATGTCTTTTCACTGTGTTTTGTAGGAGTTGGAACTGGCATTTTTATAGCTGTTAAAATGTTAATGTATGAGTATACTTAATCACTTTTTCTAAACAAGTTTAGTTCTGTTCTTGCAAAACTCATTGTGCCAATTTACTGCAACATGACTTTATGGTATGCTTTTGCTATAATAAGTATACTAGAAAGAAATGTGGTGTTCCTACAGAACCTATTGATGCACACTGGTTGGAAAACACTGTTTAGTTTACAAAAATAAAAAATTTAAACTGATAAAGAGAGACTAGTTCTTAACAGTATTATACAATACTGTCCATTTACATAGTACTGCACCTAGATGATGTTAACTGCTTCTATAGTTGTCCTTAAGCAGAACCCATTACGTTTATTTTTGGTCTCAGTAATCTGTAAACTAGCTGTAATGTTAAGATGAGGCAGGATTATAGGTTTGTAGTAATGTGGAAAAGCCAACAGGAGAATACTTGTTTCAACATTCATCAACACTGTTGACCAGCAGCTGAATTTATGGAGCCTGTTTTGCTGCATTTGTACAGCAGACTTAATATTAGAATGCACTGCATGCTTTCTAAAGACTTCTTTGCTATATTGAGTACTTTTGTAGATGCAAGCATATTTATCATTCCTTATTACTCTGCCATCATTTATGTCAATGGATAGAAGCACATGCACATGTATACATCTGTACCAATCTTAGCAAAAACGTGATTTGTGCATATTTACAAAATGGTACTATTTCCACTCTACCTTCCTGCCCACAGTGGCAAGCAGCCTAAAACTCTCTATTCTCTCTTCATAGCTCTGTTTGTCAAAGGGAGATGTGAAGAGTGCCTGGGGGAAGGTCTCCCATGTTGGTGCTCAAAGCAGCACACTCATAAATGACTTTTTCCATAAAACACAGTGGTGCTTACTTAGAGGAGCACTTTGTAGTAACATGCTGGCTGCCTTGGGAAATTAAAGTAGCAAGCTACAGGCATTTAAAAAGGTTAATGATTAAATACTGAAGCCTGTATTTACAAAGCAGAATCCACTTACGTGATTACTAGAGGTTAAAACTCGGCATCAAAAGACGTTTTAGTTCACAGCAATATAGTTAAGATTTTGATTACAGCAGTCTCCCACACAAATGTAAAAACATGCAAGTAGTTACTAAATGCTAAAATTGCTTGCAAAGCTTTTCATGTGCATAATAAGCGTCATGAAATGGAAGGTGTTCATACACCAAAACTGAACAGCTTTCAGATCTTGAAGACAGTACCTCAAGTTAAACCAGGAAGATCAGTAGCCACAGCAGCTCCCAGTATGAAATTGTCCTTGGCAGATGGCTGTGATGTTTGGCCTCCACAGATCTTGAGTTTCAGCAGTCTCTAGTGTTTCACAACAGACTGCTGTTAACGGCAGAGACTAACACAGCCATACAGCTAGACCATCAGACAGCAGCATTCTCATTAAGCTTCCAAATACAGGTAGTTACTGTGCACTGGATTTTGCATAGTTCTACATACAGCTAGTCACAAGATGTGTTTTATTGCCTTAGGAAACTAAAACAACTTCCACTTTCACCCTCCAAAGTGTTTTGTAAAGATGTTAACTGAAAATAAATGGGCATTCTCACATAGGCACTTAGTGGTTTTGACCATTCCTTTCTGTCAAAACTCCTTTTACCAAAAAAAGGTACTGTGTATTTGACAAGTATGCAAAATCTACCTTGTTTTCCCACAAGTGTTGATGAGCTAATACCCACATCTGTCATTCACAGCTGTGTCAGAGATAATGGGTCAACCATGCCACTACTTCAGAGGCTAACAGATGCAGAGATGAAGCTCCTGATTCTACTCTGCAAGTCACTAAAGTCATGCTCTATCCATTCAGCTGCTTGGGCTTTTACTGCCTGAATTTACTGCCCATTTACAAACCAGAAGTACCCTAAATTCACAGAATCTCACAGACTGTAGTAATGGCCATCTCACCTTCCAAGATGCCCAAATGTCCATGAGCTGTGTCTCTTGAAAGATAAAATTTCTGAGAGCTGAGCACTGACTAGGCAGTCAAACTTAAGTCTCCCAATGAATACGGCTGATTCCTTTTGCAGAAAGGAAACAAACCAGTTAATGCACAAAATTTAAAGCAGAATTGGCTTTGACAGTAGCATCCCCACTTCAAGAGTCAAGTTTACTACAGCTTAAAATATTGTGCAGCCTTGTTGAGTTGCTTATCATTCAAGTGCACAGGGGGCTGCTGTGATAATGTTAAAGTGCCCAGCTAGCAGTGGAAAGTGACACTGCCTGTATGAATCCCATTTTGCTTTGGAACTTTGCACCAAGAGTAAAATCAGAGGGGCCTCTCCTCTTGTTCAGCACAAGAAACAGTGTTCTATATCACCATCTTGTCAGCAAGGCAAAAACTTTCATTAGGGAGAGAATCTCCAAGACCTTTTGGAAGTTTGAAATAAGTTATAAAGGTTCATACTGCCAAATCACTAAGTATTTAAAAAGATCAAAGCAAAAAGCCAACCACAGATTCAGGTCAATGCTTTTTAGATTCAATAGATTGAACTACAGTTTTTAATACTCCAGCCTTTTTGGCTTCCCCCCAGTAAGGACAGACAGAATTCTTCACATGTCAGCAGGCAGGGCCCTTAAATTTTCATTTAAATATAATAAATAATCTCCAAGTTCCATACCCTTATATCCAGTTTATTATAACAAGGGATTTATAAGATAAAAATGCTGATTGTCTTGCTTAAAAAAAAAAAAGACCAAAAAAAAAAAGACATAAATACCAATCACACAGACAAGGGATTACTGAAAAAATTATTTTCTCATTTTTCATCATGAAGTAATAAACCTGCTTGGAAGTTTTGATCACTGAAACACTAACAGCATTTAACAAGTAGCCAAAACACAACTACCCAGCAGGTGTCATAGAAGTTTAAACATGAATGGGCAGCTGGGTGCAATGCTGGATTTCACTCAGAGGACTCATTCAGAAAGACGTTAAATTGGGACCAGACCCAGTGGTCCTGTCACAGCTCCTGGGAGGTAAAGTATCTTTAAAAACCATGATTTAGTGTAAACTTTTTGTTCCATTTGTCATTTAAGTTGCATCAGTCAATATGAAACAGGACCAGAACACACAAACAGCAGTTTCTAATAGAAGTTCTTCTCTCTCGTAGTTACACGCAGGATGCACCCAACTCCCACACCGGGATTGTGGCCAGCTTCTCTTTGCCTTACTGGAAGTACCGGGACTGGCCCTAGCAACATGGCTTAATCTGCAGGGACAGCAATTTCAAAATATATTTGACCATAACTTTTTACTGGAAAGAAGGTAAATGGGTTGGGTGAAAGATAGCATACCAAGGCAGAATTAGTTTAATGAAAGAATAAATTCACATTTTGGCCACTCCCTTCTCCCTACTGCTAAAGAAAGGAAAAAAAAAACAAACCACAAAAAACCTACTGATTGCCGCCTTGGAATTCAGCATAAGAAGCCATCAAACAAGCAAGCAGTATCTTTAGAAATTATGCCAGCTGTCTGCATGATCCCAGTTCCAATACTGAAGAGAAGCCCGTATGTTAGCAGGAGACAGCTGAAAGAGGAGGAGGTTGGGGAAAGATGAAGAGTAGCAACTTTGGAGGCAAATACTGAAGCTGCAACCAGAGCTGTATTGCAGGGGATCTTTAAAGTAGCTGCAACAGCACCACAAAGCAGTCCAGCCCCAGCAGGTTAACTGGTGACAGCTGTGGTGGTGAGGGCACTCCTGCAGATCCCTGAAGGTTAGCAGAGCTATCACCACCTGCTGTTACAAGTGCTTGGGTTCATTACTCTGTTTTCAACATACACAGGCCAACAGCTGGCTGACTTACAGACAAAAAAAAAGAAAAAAATCACCTTTTTTTTGTCCTAAAAAAAGCACAGATTTATATTCACATGACCACCAGAAAGCAGTCCGATAAGTGATGAAGTCCTGCAAACACTTAAGACACTATTGTTTCAAGACATCTAAGATAATCAAGTAAGCACTTGCAGAATCTGTGGCCACAGGACCTGAACAGACTTTGATTTGTCAAATACATTTCTGTATGGAGGTTATCAGAGTCAGCTGTCCTTAACACCAATAAGAACCAGCCTTTTTTTTGAGAACTAGCTGAAGCTTTCAAAAGAAAAGCAGTCAGCACTACTAATATTCCTAAACAGCAAAGATCTCCACTAAAATACTCCGAATTCCAGGCAACTTTAAAAAGAAAGGCACTAGACAAGTATATTCTGTCTTGGCAAGGAGAGTTTCAACATCAGACTAGCAAGTACAAATTGGTCATGTTTTAATAAAAAACAACAAAATTTACAATAACAATGATACTAAAAAAAAGTGTACAATGAACACTACTTTATGAGCAGTTAAAACTGTACGCACTGTAAACAGTTGAAGTTATTTGAAAGGCAGACTGCAATTTGATCAGTGAAATGTACATTACTCTTCACTTAATCAGTCCTCAGAGTCAGAACACAAGGACAGCAGTACCTGACAGCTGCTAGCACCCCCGTTTGCAGGAAAGACCTTGGAAGTTAACAGGCACTATGAGCTTCTCACTCAAAGCATTCTCCTCCCTACAAATTCAGTGCTATCCACCTTTGTTCAGAGTTTTCAAGGTAAGATGCCCAAAGACCTTCTCATCCTTTGAGGTTAACAGAGCACTGGATGCACAATACTTCTCAAAATCACAGCTGCTCTGCAAGGTATTCTCTCTTTAAACATCCATATTTTTATAGAGTCCATAGTCTCCAAACTACTGTACTGCTAAAAAATGTAACTGATTACAGTAGATGTCTGAGCATATTTTTCCATGCTAACTTACTAAAATCATACTTACTTACTCAGAAAAGCACACCAGAAGGATTTCAGGTGCAGAGGGCTCCTTCCACCTCAGAGGAGAGGATTAAAAGCCTAACCCAAAACCCAGCAATACACTCAAAACTCAAGCTGTCTGGTGGTTTTAACAGCCAGAGCAACAGATTCACCAATGTAGTTCATTGAATTCATTCTGGCTCATGTCAGTTTCAGTTGAAAATCCCAGGATCGACATAAGGATATGCAAGAAACTCCCCCAGTTTATTGCCTTCCACATCATAATGGAGCATCCGAAAACAAACATCACAGAAGAAACAAGGATCCTCTGGTGCCAGACTGTCTTTGTTGGTTACCCACCTGCAGGTTACAAAATACAAGTGTTTTCCACGAGTCCAACACATTTGTGACAAACATCTCAACACTCAGAGTTGGGGATGGCAGCAACAAACATCAGTAATAATGTTACACTGACCAGGCACTATCCATATTGCATATATCCCACCCTAACCATACAGCTGTTTTCCAAACTCCACACCCATTTAGCATCAACCCTAGCTGCTATCTTGCACTGCTACAGCATTTCCTGAGGAACTCCTCAAACCTGTGTAGCTGGTACAGTGCAAACTTCCCCCCCCCGCCCCGTGCCCAACACCACCCCCCCCCCAAAAAAATCTTCTGTCCACCCTATGGCCATTTAAGTCATAAAAGATAAATCTGTTTTCCCTTAAGATAAGAAACTGTGATAAAGAGCAGGCGTGTGACTGACCCAAACCACTCTGAGTAATAATGAAATCCATTTATGAGTCTAAAAGAAGGGCCTGGATGATGCAGACAAGACCAGGAAAGGATTGCTGCACACTCCAGCAAGCACTGAAGTTAACATGAACACAGCTGTCAGTACAAGGAGGGCCTGCCATGTCACTGAGCAATTAATTTATGGTAGCACTCAAGAGGCCATGACAGCTCAAGGCCTCTGGTGATTAAAGATGCTATCTGCACAGATTAGAACATGCAGGACAGCCAGCCAAAGCAGCTCTGCTATCCATGGTTTAGCATCTCCCCACCTAAGCTTAGTGCTTAATCCTGGTTTTAATTTAATGCATTTACATCACCCCTGGTAATGCCCTCCCCATCCCATCTTTCCCCCATATTGACCCTTTGGCTCCACCTCCCCTTATGGCCAAATGCCTCACAGATTACAGCCACTTCTGAAGGTATCCTAGGGGCTCCACTAGGAACACTAAGATGGGCTCCCATCACAAGGGGAATTGGCTCTTTGCCTGATTCCAGGGAAGTCTTAAGGCCAAACAAGCAAGATAACAAGGACACAGCTGCTGTGTCAAACTGAGGCTGAGAGTGTAAGCTGCCCTGGGGGAAAAAATAAAGGGCAGTGGGTGTTTCTGTAAATAAATCATTCAGACGTATAAAATCAGGGAGTCCAGCCTAGCCGATAGAACTCCTTTAGAGAAATTTCTACTGTGTCTATTGAAAGGCCTTCTCATGTCTAAGTAAACAGGACTAAAGTGTATAAAGAACACCAAATTCACATTCTGCTCTCTTAACTGCAGAAAATCTGTGTGGAAAAAAGGTTCCTTCAAGTACAGCTGCACAGCACAGAGTTTTCATGTAGAGGTTAGGAGTTTACCTGTGGGGAAAGCTACATGCCTTTTAAAAATCTATAGATTTTACTCTATTAAAGTTGGACAGATCCGTACTTCCCTCTGCTTAGATGCTAGATTTAATGAAAGCTCTGTACGCTCTCTGGCAAATGAATTTGAATCACATGTCTTGTCACAGGGAAAAAATGCAGCGCTTTCCCCCAAAAGTAGGATTTTCAAAAGTAATTGATCAAAAGCCAAGCTCTACGTATGCAAAAGAACCTGAGCCAAATAATTAACCTCTTCATCATTTCAGTTCTTTTGATCATCCTGAATCATCACCTCCAAATGAACGCTACCTGCAGGAGGCCTTTTCCTGGGTAGGGACAGGACAACTGCCTGAAGAGTAAGATTTCGGAACACTTGCATGAAGATTATTCACACACCTTATCAAATACATACAGAGCCTTGATTTTTTTTTTTTTTAAGTTAGTAGCAGCACCTAGAAAGACTTATTTAAGAAGACAACTTAAAAGGATTGAGAATGTAGCGTACCTGGCTGTATACATTTTGCACACAAAGCATTTTCTGGTACATAACCAGTGTTTCTTTATTAGCAAGGGATAGAGGTTCCTGTCCAGGCAGTCATCATGATGAATGAGCCTTGAGGGAAATAAATAAATACATAAAATACAATAAAGACTCAGCCACACTGAAATTTATCTGAACGTAAGCATGGACACTGAAAATAAGGCATGATTTAAATTCCTGTGTAAACTATGACTAAACTTCTGTTCAGCATTTCTTAACACAGATGAAGACCTGAAGATAGACTGCTAGTGGCACCATCCATGGATTTTATGGTCAGGAGTAAATTCAGGTTACATAGTAACTCAGAAGTCTTCAGACCATCTACTTTAGATGGTCTTTTCAAAGCTTTTATCGCCTACATAGACTAACAGGCAAAAACATCACCAGGTGGATGTTCAGAGGCTCAAAATCCTGAGATCACCTACTTGCAACATCTTTGCCTTTCTCTGGGTTGTATTCCTCTTGGGAGGCACCATTTATTAACAATGCTTAGGTACATCAGGCTTCTGGGAACGGAAAACGATCTGTCACCCACTACAGACAATCAGAGGAATGCTCTCTCTACCAATTATGCACTGAGCAGAGTATACACAATAGTTCTACTGTTGATGTGGTTGCCACCTCACAGCCACTATCACCTCCTCCTTCTCTCCCTTGCTTATCCACCTCAACCCACTCTTTCCACTCGTCTTGTCTTCTTTTCAGTGCCTGCCCCTCAGCATCAAGTCTAAACTAACAAGACCAGCTGACTCCAGGCAGAGCCATTAACAGCATTCTGCTCTCTGGTGCTCCAGAACCAGTATATAAATCAGCCACACATTGGCCCTGCACAGAAATGAACTCTTCACAGTGGGTGCCATTCCTCCCACACCATAGTCATGCCATGCTAGTTAGAAAGCATTCTTTTTATGCAGACAAATTATGTAAAAAAGAAAAAAATGCAAGGGAGATTACTTTCTTCCTTGCAGAGCTAGTCACATGTATATGGAATAAAATCTTAAATAAGCCCTGCAGAAGGCAGCAGAATAATCTTAAAGTTAGTCTAACAAATATTCAGCATTTAACATCTGAAGTTTGTCCACAGAAAGCTTGCTTTCAACTGCCGAAGGACTCCCAAACAGCAGTAACTTACCTTACATCTGTGATGATAATGATGTGCTCACAGTTCCCTTGGTGGCAGAAAAGGTATGGAAAGCCAATTTTCAGGGACAAATCATTAAATGTGTAGTCCTCCATTTTAACAGACTGAAGATTTCCATAGCCTCTGTCATGAGATTCTGACCACTCAATAATTGTTCTGAAAACAGAAAGGTCATCAGCAAAGCAACGCTATAAACGGTGAATGCACAGAAAAGGAAGGCCTTGGGGGACATGCAAAACTCTTCATCGGGACACAGTTAAAAAGATGGAAATCAAAACAGCTCACAATATTTTGTAATAACTTAAGGTAATTTCACAGCAATACCACAACCCCAGAGAACTGTGCACTGTTCTTGTGAAACACCTCCCTTTAAATCCCCACCAGGCAGCTTCCCAAGGAGTTCTAGTCAGAGCATATGCTCCTGATGGCACCCATCGAGGTCAAGTTGTTTGCAGCACACTTCTCAGCATTCCAGTAATTCAAGTTACCAGCAGGCCATTTTTGCTCCCTTGGTCAATAACTTTGCTTTAAAGTATTAAAAAGGGTTTTCTTGTTTTTGCCAAGGAGAAACACAAAGCTGACAACTGCACAGTTACACTTCCAAAATCTAGCACTGGAAGGGCACCAGCCACTGGTGCAATTATTTCTTGGCTTTTCAGCATACTCCTACATACAAGGCATCTCACTTCTACAGACTGCTTATGTTATCACAAGCCCTTCCACAAAGATCGCTGTTGCTCATGGACAGAAAGAAAAGGAGCAAAATAATGAACTTCTCTGACAAGTCTGGTGTGACAAGAAGAGAGTCCAAACTCACAGCTCTTCCATACCATCCATTTTAACATCTTGATCTCCTAAACCTCACTAGTGTGTCAGCAAACCCATACTTCCTTAAAATGAACTACTATGTATAGTATGACTTGTGCTCAACCAGTGTGAGCTATAGTTCCAAACAAGAGATTCCTGAGACTCTTGGCAATGTTATCTCAGATTTCTTTTCCCAACAGTCACACAGTCTCCTTGTTGACTCTACCATGAAGGCATTCAGTATATTTTCAAGACTGAGCAGAACAACTGACTTCACACAGCTGAGCTTGTTGTCTTTCTGACCCATCTTCTACCTCGCAGGCAAGTCTTTTGGTGGTCAGGGAGCGCACTTAAAAAGCCAGTACGGACTGGCACCTGTCACCTTCCACAGCAATCCCATCCAACGGAGCAAAACAGGATTTATGGGGGAAAAAAAATGCATTCATCCCCTTGTCAGAAGGGAAGTGAGCAGAAGGAGTACGTAGAGCAAGTAAAGTTAAATGTCTATGTAAAAGACAATACAACATGAAAAGATAGTAAGAAAAGCCCATTCTAGCTTCATACGCTAGACGTTCCAGTCTTCAGAATACCAGAAATCATAACCAAAATGAAATAAATTTCCTGTCCCTTAATGTTTTCCTTCATCAACATCTACAAATACTGTACCTGCTCAGATCTCTGCACTCTGGGTATCTTTTATCATTATAAAAGATGCCTTCAAAATAAAAGAAAGCAGACTTGTAGAGATCCTGAGAGAGAGACGGAGAAAGAAAGAGAGATTAGTCTGCATTAGTGTTATGAGAGATTAAACACCTTAAACAAGAACATGTCAAAAAACAAGCACTTTAGGTATCTAAACAAGGTATCTGTTTCCCATAAGCTCCATCTTCTGTTGTTGCTGTCAAAATAGCCTTTATATGAACAAGTAGCTTTAGCAGAGAGAAGACGACCAGGAAAGGTTGTGCTTTATTACCCACATAACTTTTTTACCTTTACATTGTCCTCTTCCAAGTTGTTTCTGCCATATAAGAGGGTGTTGTTTTGGTTTATACTATAACTCCTTAAAGACTGAGGCCAGATAGCAGTGTATATTTTCAAACTGATCACAAGACATGTGCAGGGCTTAAGAAACAGTTACAAGAAGCAGGAGACAGCCTTCTGCAGTGAACCTTAAAGCAGGGAGACGCCTCAGATCAAAAACCCACAGCAAGCAGGGAACCATATTTTTCAGGTACTTTATTACATTTTGCTGAAGAAAAAAAATAGCCCCCCCCCAAATCACCTTTGTTTCAAGAGCAATACAGCTAACATGCAAGTCTATCCTAGGCTGGGGAAAACAGGTCAGCTACCTTGCACAGGATTCATTACTGGAAGTGAGGAGAGGTTAAAGGACATAGATTAAACCTTCTCAAACCGCTGCAGAGTGGAACACTTCCGTACTGACTGCTGCTCAGGGAGCCATTCTGCATATGCTGTATATGCAACTGTGCACAGCTACAACACATACAAGTGATGCTAAGATACCCTGTATACATACACAGTTGACCTGTTAAGTTACAGCATACAATTTTTTCTGTATTTTCAACTGCAGTTTTAAGAAAAGCAGTGTTTCGTGACATTTCAGCAAAAACCTTTATCGGCAATTATACACTGGCATTCAGATACTGTACAAAGCCTATTTAAATCCTGTGTTTTCTTCAAGTATACAGAAAACTGCAAGGAATCCTTCATTGATGGGCCTTAAGAGCATTTTGATAAAGAATGTCTCCAATATGCATCAACACATAGTTTTACCATACTGAAGTGGTCCCAACCTTTACATCTCTAATTACACTATATCACAGCTCTCAGTTAAGTGAAGGTTATGTTTATTCATCAACAGATGCATGTGCAGGCAGGTCAGACATAATGACTGGGGAAGGTAACTTCAAGGAGCAAGGAGCTTGGTTCCTTTCCATGGTTAACATGGTGACCAGCTCACTCCAATTCTGTAACTTGGGAGTTGCTCACTGCTCATTAAGTCACAGAATCCTGATGAACTTTTTACATGTCTGGCGAGAGGCAGCCTCTGACCTGCAAGAGCTTACAGTGCAAAAGAAAAGGCTGAGAAAGAGTGAAAGACAAGAAGTGAACACCAATGATTTTACAGGCTGGGTACAGCGGCACAAGCAGACTAAATAAGAATCAAATGGGAAAACTGTGGACAACTAGGTACTCTGGATCCTCAGACCATTCTTAATGTGTCTTTATTAACAGAGAATGAATGTTCCTTTGTGCCCAGAGGTCTCTCTGAGCTATTAACTAACTCTAAGGCATCAAAAGACAGGAAATGGCAGACACTGGGGCCAGAGATGGGACTCATAACTGGAGATGACCTGCATGAAGGCACAGTGGTAGGAATGTTTTACATTCTCACAATTTGTTTCAGCTCTGTTACTGTCACCCTCCCTGGCTCTCTAACCACAAACTGTTAAGTACTGCCATGCTCTGGCAACTCCTTACCAGCTTCTGTGAGTCACAGTTCTGAAACAGCCAGTCCTTTAAAGCTGCTCCAAACTTCAGAAAACAGCTGTCTGTCATAGTGAACAGAAGGCCAAGGGAGCCACTGTTATAAACTTCTTGGGACTCTGAGTCAGGTCTTTCCTGATTAATGCTGTCCAGAGGTATGACCCAAACATTGCTTCCTCCCAGACTTTGCATTATCCTTCAGTTTGCAAGGAGGGATGCCCTATTGTTTCTCCAGGGAAACCCAACAGTAGTAGTAACCACATAAAAGATCCATGATCCTTGTTAAAAGTAGCCATATATGTGGCATAAAATAACTCAATATTGCCCAGTTCTCTCCCGTGGATGTTGGTTTGACTAAGGTGTTTGCTTACCAAAAGAACAAACCAAACCAAATAAGGCACAGAATAGAACAGAGTATTTCAGTTGGAGGCGACCTACAACGATCATCTAGTCCAACTGCCTGGCCACTTCAGGACTGACCAACAGTTAAAGCATGTTATTAAGGGCATTGCCCAAACGCCTCTTAAACATGTACAGGCTTGGGGCTTTGACCACCTCTCTAGGAAGGCTGTTCCAGTGTTTGACCACCCTCTCAGTAAGGAAATGCTTCCTAATGTCCAGCCTGAATCTCGCTTGACACAGCTTTGAACGATTCCCACACGTCCTATCACTGGATCCCAGGGAGAAGAGATCAGCAGCTCCTTCTCCACCTCCCCTCCTCAAGAAGCTGCAGAGAGCAATGAGGTCACCCCTCAGCCTCCTTTTCTCCAAACCAGACAAACCCAAAGTCCTCAGGGCTCCTCACAGGACATGCCTTCCAGCCCTTTCACCAACTTCGTTGCCCTCCTCTCGATGCATTCAAGAACCTTCACATCCTTCTCAAATTGTGGGGCCCAGAACTGCACACAGTACTCAAGGTGAGGCTGCACCAACACTAAATACAGTGGGATAATCACCTCCTTTGACCAGCTGGTTATGCTGTGTTTGATGTACCCCAGGATGCAGTTTGCCCTCTTGGCTGCCAGGGCACACTGCTGACTCATGTTGAGCCTGCTGTCAACCAGCACCTCCAGATCCCTTTCTGAAGCACTGATTTCCAGCCACTCCTCTCCAAATTTATACTTGTGCCTGGTGTTACTCTGTCCCAGGTGCAGAATCCAGCATTTAAACTTGTTAAATTTCATCCCATTAATCACTGCCCAATGAAGAAAAAGCAAAGAATAAAATCACAAAACCCAGAAGTAGCAGCAATGAAAGAAGTGAGGCCTATTTACACCAGTAAAATCCCAGAAGTCTCTCTCATTCTCTCTGTATCAGCTGACAAGCTACACTTGTTTACTTAACCAATAAGAGCAGCAAGTTGATGCTTTCACTGAGCCCATGTACTCAAACTGCACTTCAAGAGAAGCGAAAGCTGTCATCAACAGCTAATTTATTTACACAGCCTTTCCTGCAGACTCTCAGAGCACCACTCTGATTTAAATCAGTCTCTTAAGATCCTTAAATTAGTCAGAAGTTATCTTCTCTATTTGGAAAAGCTAACATATTTCTGGCAGGTCATGGTGCCACTTCCTTCCTAAACTGAAAGAAAATTCTAACCCCCTGATGGCTGATTACCTGTCTGCTGAAGCAACATGTGAATTTTACTGTGAAGACTTACCACGCACTGAGCCTATACTTCAATGCAAGTTGCAAGTTCACAATCACGCTTGAGGAAAACAAACAAATGGAATGAATGCACACCACTCATTAACAACTCCTGCTGGAAGGCGAGGCATGGTGGCATGCACTTACTTTGGGGAAATTGTTGATGTGATGTAGCCTAATCTCAGCCCTGTTGAGGCCATGGCAGCTTCACATAACTCTTCTGCAGGCCCAGGAGCAGAGTCTCAACTCTCTGGTCTCAGTACTAATCAGCTAGTCCTTTACTAGCTAGTGGTAGAAAGACTCTTCTATTTACTTCACATAAATGAAAGGACTAATATCTGGGATGTCTTTCTGTCTCCTTAAACAAGAATGTGCCATCTTTTCACTGTTACGTATACAAATATATAACATCCTCTGGTTTCTCTCAGATTGTATATCGTATATTATTTGATTGATATTATGTTGATAATATACTATATTATTAACATATAATATTGGTGGAACAGCGGGGCCCCAAGTGTGATAATCAGCCTAGTTGGAGGCCAGTAACTAGCAGAGTACTCCAAGGGTCAATACAGGGTCCAGTTCTGTTTAATATCTTAATGATCTGGATGATGAGGCAGAACGTACCTTCAGCAAGTTTGCCGCTGACACAAAACTGAGAGGAGCGGCTGATGTACCAGATGATCATGCTGCCACCCAGAAGGACATTGACAGGCTGGAAAAATGCGCCAACAGGAACTTCATGAAGTTCAACAAGGAGAAGTGCAAGGTCCTGCACCTGGGGAGAACAACCCCATCCACCACTATGTGCTGGTGATACAAGATGCTTTACATCTTGTGTTGCGAGGAGAATAGAGTGGCCTTGTTATGCTGACTAGTAGTGGATAAGAAAACCTGTATGTTGCAAAATGTCTAACATACCAGAGGAAATTGCTTTTGGTCGACCTTGCAATTCCCTGGGAAGATGAGAACCTTAGGCCCTTTTTAGATAATTTAGCTTAAAAGCGTCAATGTGGCTTGTGTTAAAAGAATGAAAATCAAGAAAAGATAAGTATTAGAGTTACTAATGAACATTCTTTAGAATAAGTTGTACCAAAACTTGTAAAGTGTCCCACTGCGCAGAATCGCTAGGAGAGGGTGAACTAGCAGACAAGTGAGGAAGACTATCGAAGACCACCAGAGGACCCCTGAAGACCACCAAAGATCTCAAGTGTGCCTGCGCCAAGGACATTTACATATATTAATGAGCTCCCAGAATTCAGATGAATATGTTAATTATTTCCAGGAAAAATCATGAATATGTATATCCATTTTGTATATAATCTCAACTGTTGAAGGAATTGGTGTACACAACAGGTGGAGCAATCCCCTGTGTACCCAGTGCTGCAATAAAGAATGCCTGCTTTCTAAAACTCTAAAATTGAGTCTTAGAGTTTCTGAAGTGCTGACTTACAGTAACACTGGGAGCCCCTCAGCTGGAAAGCAACTTGGCAGAAAAGAACCTGGGGGTCCTGGTGGGCACCAAGTTGACCATGAGCCAGCAATGTGCCTTGCTGCAAAGAAGGCAAATGGAATCCTGTACTGTGTTAGACGAAGGATTGCCAGCAGGTTGAGAGGTGATCCTTCCTGCTCAGCACTACCAAGGCCACATGTGGTATCCTGTGTCCAGTTCTGAGCTCCTCAGTACAAGAGAGACCTGGACATGCTGGAGAGAGAGTCCCACAAGGGCCATGAAGATGAAGAGACTGGACCATCTCTCCTTTGAGGAGAAGCTGAGAGATGGAACTGTTCAGCCTGGCAAAGAGAAGGTTCAGGGGGGATCTTATTAACATACACAAATACCTCTAGGGAGGGTGCAAAGAAAATGAAGCTAGGCTCTTTTCAGTGGTGCCCAGTGACAGGACAAAAGGCAAAGGGCACCAACTGAAACACAGGAGGTTCCCTCTGAACATCAGAATTTTCACTGTGAGGGTGACAGAGCACTGGCACAGGTTGCCCAAGGAGGTTATGGAATCTCCATCCTTGGAGATATCCAAAAGCCGTCTGGACATGGTCCCGGACAACTGGCTGTAGGTGGCCTTGCTTGAGCAGGGAGGTTGGACCAGATGTCCCCCAGAGGTCCCTTCCAACCTCAACCATTCTGTGATATGATACATATTATATGTGATACAATATCAAAATGATGCAATTTCAGTATTTTCAATTAGAGTACTTCTTTATTGAACCCTTTTGCACCTCCTCAGAGAACACCTGGCAATTGTGGGAGAGGGGAATAATCTTCATTCCTACTTTTGATCAGCACCCAGTTGCAAACACCAAAGCATGTAAATTCAGAGGGGGGTGGTCCACATTTAGCTTGCTATTACCTTTGGTCCTGTAGAACATAGCTCAAAGTAAAATCAGTCCATGGCAATACACCTATGCAAGAACTCACTGCCAGTGTTACTACTTCCAGCGGTAGCATTAATGATGTTTTTCTTGACATCGCACAAAACAGGTCAGCTTGGTAGTGCCACCAGGAAGTATTTACTTGCAGTGCAACCCACAAGCAGAACTGATGCTGCTGAATTTAGTGCTGAAGAAAAAACAATTAAAAAAACCCTCTGCCTCCCTCTCTCCTCCTATGTTTTCAAAGTTCCTATACATGTAGAGGGTTCCACATAGAAGGTTTTACCTTGCTGATGTGCTCTGGTGCTTGATCGGTCTGACTGCTGAACTCACCACCTATCTGGAGGTCACTGACACAGGAAATTGAGTCTCTCAGCTCGGTGAGCTTCTGGCTGCCCAGTACAAGCACTGTCTGATACGGTTTGTGATCTTTATGCTATGAAGAAAACAGCATACATGCTTAAAATAAAAATCGCTTGCCAGCATCAGTACTGCTCTTCAGTTGACAACTTCAGGTCATTAATGGCACCGTATGGCACATGACCTCTCCATACAAGATTTTAAAGAGCATCTTGCCTCAGCCTTTCCTAAGGCTGCCATTTACTAGTTTTATTCAGAAACTCAAAAGTCACATTCCCCACTGGAAAGTGCAGGGAAAATAGAAAGTCTGAGCACACTTATCCCAAATCCAGAAAGAGTACTTCAGTTTTCATATATTTAGTTTCAGATTTTTAACTTTCTGTGAAATCAATTAACTACTGAGTAATTATTGTAAAAAATTTCCTTCTGTAAACCACTAATGGAATGAAAACCAGATTCTGAAAAAGCCTTACAAAGTTACCACAGTTGAAAGGTTTGCCACACTCCCACAGTGGACTCACTGATTTTAATTGCTTAGGAGAGCAAGATATTACCTCAGCAGGGAAGAAACATCAGAAAACAACCTAGAGAATTTAGTACCAACCTTCTGAAATATGACAGGATAGTAGATGTTCAGAGTTAAAAGTAGTTCTCCCTCTTCAACTAGATCTGTTGGATTGTCTGGCCTCTTTCCAATTGCATGTGACTCCTGGAGAAAGAGAGAGAGAGAGATTATATTGGCAACCACTTATATATCATAGCCCCTAGATGAACGTCTGAGAAATGCTGTTCTAACTGTAACTCAATTTTTGACTGTGTAGCCTTCTGAATTGGTAACAGCCTACTTTCTCCAAGACGGAGAGGTGAGAAACTGCTGTAATTACAGATTTCAAGCATTTTCCTTCATTCCTCAGCTCTGGAGAAACTGAGGTGCTTTCAGCAGTTACGAGATAGCTGGCTACTCCTTGGCTACTGAGAGGACCTACATAAAGGATTTAAAGCCTGCTGCCACTCTGCCCTCACGGAATCCAGCTGCTACCAACTTCCATCACTTAATGCTTTGAAATGCTCTTTGAATGCTTTCACATGTAAAGGAGGATCGCAACCCTCAACTTGAGACAGACTGACCTAGAAACTAGCCATAGCACGAGGTATATGAAAACAAAAATTAGTGCAACACTTCTTCTTATTAGGGAAGCTTGACATAGCTGGAGGTCCCCAGTTCTTCAAAATCCAAACCCAAAATCCAGCACTGCCCTTGCCACACTACATTTTCGAAAAGAAGTGAAAGCATTTCCGCATTTCCATCCAAGACTGTGTTTAAGACATAGCCCAGCTGTCAGAATGAGGGAGGGCACTTTTCTGTGACCATCAGTTTCCTCCTTTTTCAACAAATCAAGAGAGAATACTGACTGTAAAAACACTTCCCACCAGCACAAAGTTTTCTTCAGATTTAGTAACAGGAGCGTGTACTGCTGCCAAAGATACTTGTGCTCTATCCCTTGCATCTCCTTTCTTCACGCGACACATTCCAAACTCACATTTCTTATTGCTCTCACCCTGTTCTAGGACACTGTGGCCCCAACCAGCTCTGACACACAAACCAGTTACCACAGCTTCCTTAAAGGATGTAGTAACTGACAACATGCTCATTCTGCAGAAACAGAAGTTAAGACACCACTCACTGAAACCCTTTATGAAGATACTGCAAATATTTTCTCAGATATGCCCTAGGCCAACATCCCAACACAGTTGTTGCATCTCAGCTGATACATGATGTTTACATCATGTGCCTGGGCCTCTGGACAGTTGAAACAAGATCACTCATGACAGACCAGGAAACCTCAAGGGGAAGAAATATCTAATAGTGACAATTGAGGCTCCTTCCTCACTACACTTCTATCCCTACTTTTTACAGTAGTTCATGGCCTACTTGTTCAAGCCATGGACTCCAGCACTGCAAAATTTAAGAACTTAAGTTTTCCTGTTGAGGACTTTGATGGTTGCAATGAAATCTTTAAAAAAGAGGTACTAAGCATAGTTAAAGGAATTCCAAGATGGCTTTTGAAGGGCTGATCACTACACTCCTGGTTCCTGACAGCTCAAAATGGCTGAGAAACTTGGGTTACAAAGCCCAGAATTAGGAACTTACTGCCACCATGCTCCTACTGTCTTCTTCCTTCAGCCCTACAGAAACTAGCTCACAATCATTTACACATTAAAGCTTAGATTCCAACACAGGACTCCAGGAGAAAAACATTTTGCATTTTGTCCAGCTCTACAGTGAGTTCACATGTGAAACTTGATCCCCTACACAATGCTTTAGTAGCAATCAAATAAAAGCAGTCATAGAGCAGTAATGAGCTGGAGTTCCTCCATACTACATTTGCTACTAACAGACTGTAAGAGCAGAGTTCCTGTCCTATCTGTCTTAAAAATGTCTTTAATCTTTATCATTACCTGCAAACATTTACAGTGTACAGAGATTCATAGTGATGAAAAAAAAAGCAGCAAGAAGCTGGCTTTTGCATGTGCTGAACTGTCTTGAAATCCTACAAGATGACAGGGAACTTACCATCTCATAGGCAAGAGTTTCTTGTCTGCAAGCTCGATCCACAATAATTGTTTCTTCTCTCCTCTCTAATGCCTTCTTTCTAATTCTGAGGGGCAGGAACACAGGACAAAATTTTGTTCAACAACTTCCATGCAGAATCTCTAGGTATATTTTTAAATGATACAAGCTACTACAGTGCAGCTTTCAAAGAGCAGGATTTCTGCCTGTCTTAGTATGACAGACTAACTTACAATACTCTTGTCTCCTGACTCCCATAAAACCTGGGAGTACACAGGCCCACTTGGGGATTTCAGCTTGTGTTTTTCTCTCCCCTCAAGTGCAAATTACAGGGGTTTTGTGGCAGTTTTACACTTACAAGAAAAAACAGCAAAACATTGTCTAAAGAGGCTCTCCTAGAAAGAACACTTTGCTACCTTTGAGGAAGCTGTTTCAACTATCACTCCCACTTCAGACAAACTCAATTCATGCTCAAGCAGAAAACAAGAAAAAACCCACAAATATTCTCAACCGCATGACATAAATACTTTCCTAAAAAAAATTCAGTATCATTTGTAGAAGAAAGAACATCATACATAGAATATCTACTAAAATACATGTATTTAACCACTGCACGAACACCAAACCCTTTTTCAATTTCCATGACAAGTCTATTTACCCTCCAGACCTTCCTGAAGGTGTTCAGTAACAGCCAGACTTAACACTGATCACAACCTTAACTGATTTCTTTGCATTAGCACTACGCAAACCGAAATTCAAGTACAGCAAAGGCCTGAACTGGTCAAGTATGAGTTCAAAGTTCACCAACTCATAGAAAATTAACATGCATTGCTCAACCTCTGGAACGCACCAGTATTATCAATGAATTCTGTAAAGAGTGGATTCAGGTAAAGAGGTATCTGGCTACAACTTCAGTACTTCCACTTTGGCTGTTACAATGTGACTGTGGCTTACTAGAGGCAAGAGCTCCAGCTTTTTTTCACAAGGCTTTGGAGAAACCTCCTGCACATAATTATGAGAAGTCCTCTGCATGCTCCAAACTTAGGCACTAGTTCAGGTCTACCCAGAAACCTGAAGTTCTTCCAATAAGAAAGACGGCATATTCTGTATATCTTAATAAAAAAAATTCCTAAGTAACATGCAAGCAGAAGGATCATACCAATTATCCTATTGTAAGCTGGTGTTTCTGCCCTTAGAGTATTTCTGGACACTGTTTCAGAAAGTACACCATTGCCTGGAAAGGGAACAGCAGCCAGCCATGCTTTTGTGCTTGTTTTCCACCCCACCCCATATCAGGATACTGTGAGTGTACTGTAACGACATACCGAAGAGTTAGCAGACTGCTATCTTCAGGAATAACATCTGGGTCCTTTTCTTTATCAGAAGACATTAACATATCAATGCTAGGACAATAAAGAAAATAACTATTATACATTTTTTCATACTTACTCATTATGGTTTAACCCCAGCCAGCAACTAAGCACCACGCAGCCGCTCACTTACTTCCCCCCCCACCTAGTGGGATGGGGGAGAAAAATCAGAAAAAGAAGTAAAACTTGCAGCTTGAAATCAGAACGGTTTAATAGAACAGAAAAGAAGAAACTACTAATAATAATGATAACACTAATAAAATGACAACAGCAATAATAAAAGGATTGGAATGTACAAATAATGCACAACGCAATTGCTCACCACCCACCAATCAACACCCAGCTAGTCCCGGACTGGTGATCCCCCACTGCCCCCAGTTTATATACTAGACATGATGTCCCATGGTATGGAATACCCCGTTGGCCACTTTGGGTCAGGTGCCCTGGCTGTGTCCTGTGCCAGCTTCTCGTGCCCCTCCAGCTTTCTCGCTGGCTGGGCATGAGAAGCTGAAAAATCCTTGACTTCAGTCTAAACATTACTTAGCAACATCTGAAAACACCAGTGTGTTATCAACATTCTTCGCATACTGAACTCAAAACATAACACTGTACCAGCAAAGAGGAAGACAATTAACTCTATCCCAGCTGAAACCAGGACACTTCTAAGGCCCAAATCAGGCCAAAAGGGCAGTATGGTTGTTAAGATAAAGAACCAGAAGACAAAGAGTCCTGGAATTTATATCTGGTTTTCACAGAGACTGGGTAAATTTTACCTTTACTTTGCATTCTGCCTCACGGAGCACAGTTGCCTACACAGGTTTAACAAGCCCCATTCAAAATGTGTGTCCAATACTTCTTATGAACTAAAAATGCCACTTGACTTTTTCAAATCTCATCCACCTTTTCTAATGATATATGGTAAAATAGATTGAACCAAAAGGCATCATCAACCTCAGCCTGTATGGTAAAGCTAACACCCACCCACCCCCACCCAGGTACGAACACAGGCAAGCCACATTTACACAAGCTGTCATTGCTGTATTATGGCGTCAGTTCATGCCACATTTCTTTCAGTGGGAATAAGACAACACTCCTGCCAGAAGTGACAGGTCCATTCTTCCTTGTATCCTTCCTTCCATCCTGAGACCCCTTCCACCCTCACTCTGCTTGTGTTTGCACAGAATCCAAAGTATAGCTAACCATAGTTTTTTGCTGCAGTGCAAATCACTGCAGGACTTGGGAAGGAAAAGTGGAACTGCTTTTGGCTGCAGCAATGATTTAAACTGATCATAGAAACGTTTGGTTTTCATAACATAAATGAGGATGGAATTTCTCATAAACATGCCACAAAAAAAAATTAATCCTGTGGCATACCGTATTCTGCTCCCCTGCCAGTTTTCTAACATAAGGTTCACCCATGCCATTCCACAAACAGACCAAATGATCCACCTGAAGGCTTCAGATTAGACACTACAATAGTATCAACTACCTTTTCAGAAACATACAGAATAATGCTGACTCAAAGACAGTAATAATTTTGTATAATCACAAAATAATTTTATCCAACTTAAAAATAGTCCAAGAAAATATTATTTAAAACAGAGAAGTATCACCCGCTTTGAATCAGACTTTATCTCTTTTGTCTCTCTGGTGTTTGCAGACTATATAAAGGCAGGGCTTATACCACTGCCTAAGTCCACGTGCAGTTTGAATCCCAGCAAACTCTTGCACAAACCCATCTCTTTACAGGACAAACAAACCACTGGTAAAGTCCAGGAAAAAAATTTGGAGCATATCATTTATTCTCGATATAATTTATGATTTGATTATATTATTTTTCATTATAATCTTCTAATGTTCCTCATGTCAACAACACTGAGCTAGGTAACACTATCACTGCAGTAATGAATAAGCCTTTAGAGTGGAACTGTACAGAAATATACAGTAATTGAGAAATAGAAGTCTGGAATCAACTGGCATCAGCTGACAATAAGCAAAAGTCAGAGACAAAATTTTGGTTGTGGGTAGACAGCCTAGTTCTAACAACCCAATAAACTCACACTGGATTGAAGATAATTTGAATTTACTATTGTTTAGTTAGTTTCTTACAATGCAGCAGTACACAAAGAGTTTTAACTTTCCCGTCTTCCAGATTTCATCCCAAACAGAAAATCATTATTTTTAAGTTACTGAGAAAATGCGGTTCCTTCAGAAGCACCATTTCAAAAGAAACTATGCAGCAATTAGTTACAAACTCTTGGAAACAGAATCAACCTTATCCTTAGATTCCCACTTGAAGAAGTGGAGGCAGAGACAACTGAGTCCTGTATCAAGTGCAGACTGAACCACTGAACCACTGCTGAGGAACAGCAATTTAAATAACACAAAGGAAAACAGCACTTTGGAGAACACAGAACAAGCATTAGCCTTTTAGATACGGCTGTTCTCCATTCAGCATAGATTAGTGTTACGAACAGCCCACACAATGAAGTAATGTATAGCCCCTGTCAGGTAAAGCAACTCACAACTGATCCTTCTGTAGAACTGGCATCCCACCAGCATGACCAGACTATTTATCTAAGTCTTCCTGCACATGGATCAGGGACCCCATTCACCAGAAAGCCCCAAGCCCTTTGAAGACCTGCCATTTTGAAGAAATGACTGTGTTATTTTGTTCTTTGAACACCACACACATTATTTGCAGGATCTGAAAATGTCTATTACCTACCATTTTGAAGCTTCACCTGCATCAAAGGTGACAGTTTCCCATTCCCCTTCTATGCATACATACAATGTCAGAATTTATCAACAATACCTGTGCTTTCCTTCCCTCCCATGGCTCTAGGCCAGCGATCTCTGGCTGTGGTATCCACATCATGCCCACTAATTAATTGCCTGCTGCAGGAAAAAAGCTAACATTCCCCAGAAGACAGCTCCAATCAGACATGGTATAAAATAGCAGGCATGTAAGCTGCTTCCTCTTTTTTCCTTGTAAGGACAGAAAGGTAGCTAGTGCAAAGAGAAACGGCCACTGAATCCCTGACAAGTTCCATGGACCATTGCAAGCCCAGATACTGCCATTTCTCACTCCTGGAAAGTCAGAAAATTTCTAACAGAATGTTACCCGCAGAGTACTTTTGCCGGTATTTTGAATCAGCCTAATAATTCATGACATATGTCATTGTATCACATGCACAGAAGCTTTGAAAGGCTGTCCTGTATGGCCTTTTACACAGGCCACACTGGAGCTCCTCCTGGGTAACTCCACTGCAGCCAGTGGAACCACATCACAAATACTTGGTCCAAGGTCCCCAGGAAACCAGGCTTTACAAATGGAAAGTATATGTTAATCCCTCCAGAAATTAAGGCTAAGTAGTCAGTGTCATACACCTAACAGATGAAAGTGCAGGCAATACAAAGTTTGCACTGGGCATACCTCACTCCTGACAGCCCCAAGCATGGGATTCCACCGTGTCCCCACACACAAAACTCCCTGCACGCAAAACAAATACAGTCAGTGCATTCAGTTACGGTAGAGGGGAAAACACTGGCCATAGTGTTTAAGAAACACCGAGGTGAACTGTAGGAGAGTGACAAGGAACAATAATTGAAGGTCTCACTTGAAAAAAGCATGCAAAGTGTTATATGAAATTTATGTCCCCTAGAAAGATGTTTTAATGTGGCTAGAAATAAAAAGGCCAAAGGCAAGTCTGTGGAAATTTGTACATGGAAACAGACTATCAGTGAAGCCTTTAATCACTGTGACTTTACTTTTCTCAGAATATTCTGGCAGCACAACGAGCTTTCTCAGTTTTAGAAATCAGAAGATGCTTTAGTATTTTCTCTGATATTTTCGTAATAAGCAGATACAGTGTTTGTATTACTGTTCATATTGCATATATTTTAAGGGCAGTACTTTCATCACCTTTGAGACACTAATACTACAAGACACTAAATACTAATACGTTAAGACGATAACGCTAGCTTAATACAGCTTTATAACACGTCCCTAGAGATATTTACAACTACCCCTTCTAATAAAACAAGAAGGTGAATTAGGGCTGAAGTGGAATAAGGTACCTGTAAGCCTCACCTCCCTTGACCTACCTAAAATCCACATTGATTTGAGTCTTAGCCCGCCTGACACATACAGAACAAATCACTCAGAAGGCAAAACAGAGTACCATCACTTAGCATCTCCAACATTCAAGCACTTCAACCGCTCAAACACCAATGACGAATCCCAAGGTAAAACTCTTTGCTCACAGACCGCTAAGGCATTTGAATGAAACTTAAAACTTTACCCTCCTGAAACCTTGGTTATTTAAGAGAACCACTGATGGAATCTCCTAGCTAAGGACACCATTTTATACCTGTTCAAAATCCAATGAAAACCCAAGTGTTCTCTGTAACGATTGTCTGCATACAACTTGAGCAATATGCAAAGCGTTCTTAGCGAGTCAAATTCAAGTGAGTGAAGACAGAATTTTTTTTCCTGCATTCTGTTTGCAGGAATGTATTACAGGAAGAAAATAGAAGAAAAAGATAAAAAAAAAAAAAAACAAACAACCACAACACACCAAGATGCACAAAGAGTTAAACAGCATTTAAACGTTATACCATTTCTACTCATCAGAAGACTCTAAATTGTCAAGAATACTTAAATGTACACTATGTCACGATATTCTGAAAAAGATTTAACTATGGGTATTGAAAAACTTCATCCTGAGTCTATGAAAGATTCTCTCAACCTATTACTACTTTAAAAACGAATATAAGAGGAGTATCCACACCTTCCCATCTCTTTTCCACCTAAAGAAAACCTCCTTAACTTGCCAGAAGTTCCCTTACAAGTAGTTCAGTCAGAAAAATCTGTGTTTATATCCAGGATGTGTTCATTCAGTGCCTAGAAAACTGTATTTACACCAATAATAAATGTGACCCCAAGACACCATAGAACAGATCTTGGTGTAGTCCAGTGTTTTCATCTCTTCTCAAGAGAGAAATACAAACAGCTCAGAGCAGGCGA